GACCAGCAGCTCCCGCAGCTCCAGCACCAGTAGCACCAGCACCTCCAGTGCCAGCAGCTCTAGCACCCCCAGCACCTCCAGCACTAACAGCACTACCAGCTCCGGCAGCTCCAGCACCTCCAGTACGAGCACCTCCAGGACCAGCAGCTCCAGCACCTCCAGTACCTCCAGCTCCAGCGCCTCTAGCACCAGCAGCACCTCCAGCACCTCCAGCACCAGCTGTACCTCCAGGACTAGTAGGTCCAGCACCTCCAGCACCAGTAGCACCTCTAGGACTAGTAGCTCCAGCACCTCCAGCACCAGCAGCACCTCTAGTACCTCCAGAACCAGAGCACCTCCAGCACCTCCAGCAGTACCTCCAGTACCTCCAGCACCAGCACTACCTCCAGGACTAGCAGCTCCAACACCAGTAGGACCATACCCTCCACCACCAGGACTGCCTCGCCGAACGATCCACGCACGAATCGCCTGCGGCGAGAGCGTCTCAAGTAGATCAGGCTGCGGTGGCTGTCCAGCTCCAGGACCTCCAGCAGGGTCACCCACAGCTCCACCGCCACTAGGACTCGCAGCACCCCCAGAGTCAGCACCCCCAGTCGCAGCACCCCCAGAACCAGCACCCCAAGTTGCAGCACCCCCAGAACCCTCACCCTGTGTCTCAGCACCCCCAGGCTCAGCACCAGCAGTCTCAGCTTCAGAGTCCATAGCAGCACGCTGCGAAGGCGGCGAAGATGGCCGAGGTGGAAAACCAGGGGGGGTCTCCAAGCGTGGAGAGCGGCGAGTGGCCGCCGTGTTGTCAGCGGCGGGGTCACCCCCCTCAGCTGGGCCAGAGGAGTCAGAAGAGATCTCTAAAGGCTCAACCAAGGGGGGTGGGTCTACCTGAGACACACCTGAGGGAGCAGGACCCTGTGGGGGGAGGGGGTCTATCGGGGGGGGGCTGGTACCAAGAAAAGAGGCACTAGGTGGACCGGGTGGGACGCGTGCGGGTGTAGCCTGTAGAAACAGACAGACTCGTCAAAGGTGACGTCATGGGAGGAGAAGACTCGACGCTCGCGCATGTGGTAGAACTGCCACGGCGGGGCGTCAGTGGGGAAGCCAAGGAAGACGCGGCGGAGAGTACGAGAGGAGAGTTTGCTCGCTTTGGCATTGCGAACAAGGGAGAGGGCGCCCCAGACCCAAAACACCGACGCATCGCCAACCTTCCCCATCCACCAGAGTGTGGGCGAGGTCTCTGGCTCAGAGACACGGGGCCAGAGGTTGAGCTGATGCGCTGCGTATCGGACCGCAAACGGCCACATAAAATGGGGAGCAGCCGCATGGATCATGGAGGTACGAGCAACCTCCATGATCAAGCCAATGCAATGCTCAGCAATCCCATTTTGCTGAGGAGAGGCCGGAAGCGTGAACGACTGGTGGATACCCTCGTCCCGACAGAACTCCGCAAGGAGGTCAGAAGAGAACTCACCACCCGTGTCAGAGTGCAGACGCAGGACTGGGAAGTCCCGACTGAACCGCTCGCGCAGCTGGCGACGAGTAGCACGGATCCAGGGGATCAAAACACCGCTGACGTCTACCTTGCGCCGCAAGGGGAAGACACTGGTGTAACGTGTATACTCGTCAACAACCAGCAGGAAGTAGCGCTCCTGGTCCGTTCCACCGACGGGGGCCGGGCCCCAAACGTCCATGTGGAGAGTCTGCAAAGGAGAAGTGGTCAGAGGAAACTCGGAGGAGTGAGGAGCGATGCACTGCCGCCCCTCGATGTAGGGAAGGCACGGCAGGGCAGGCGAGTGCGGGAGGGAGGGCAAGGACCTGGAAAGGCCAAAGACAAGGAGACGGGATTGCATGCTGCGGAGATGCGGCAGCGAGGGGTGACCGAGGTGGTGGTGCCAGAGGAGAGTCTGGTGGGAGAGTACCCGACACGAGAAAGACGCTGCAAGCTGACCAGGCGCAGACACCTAACTCGACGCAGCCACCTGACCTTCCTCAGCCACCTGTGCAGACGCAGTGGTCATTGTGTACAGACTAGACCCAGGCCGTCGAGTGAACATAGCAAGGTGACGGCCAGTCCGGGAGCACGTACAGATCGCCACACGGTGCCCTCCAGGAACAAAGGTATCAACCTAGACATCCTGAATGGCAGTGTTGCTCACCAAGTTTGTCGAGAACGTGGGGAGGTGGAGACCTGACAAAGAACCGGAGGGGACTGCTGGACACGGGAGGACAGTGGAGGCTCGTGCGAGTACTGGGCCCCAGTGGAGTTAGCCAGTGAGACTGGTACCGGTGCAGCAAGTGGTGTGAGTGTGGTGCAGTCACAAAAGAAGCAACGTGACGCGCCTGAGTCAAGTGTGAAAGTGTGCAAGGCCTCAGCTGAGGCAGGACCTGTGGCGGGAGACGCACGAGCACCTAAAGCTGCAGCAGACTCACTAGCATCTGGAGCAGCAACAGACTCACTAGCACCTAGTGCGGCAGTAGACTCACTAGCACCTATTGCAACTGCCTCGACAGAACCACTGACACATTGCAGTAGGCTCCCTCTCTCTCTCTCTCTCTCTCTCTCTCTCTCTCTCTCTCTCTCTCTCTCTCTCTCCCTCTCTCTCTCCCTCTCTCTCTCCCTCTCTCTCTCCCTCTCTCTCTCCCTCTCTCTCTCTCACTCTCACTCTCTCCCTCTCTCTCTCTCACTCTCACTCTCTCACTCTCTCACTCTCTCACTCTCACTCTCACTCTCTCACTCTCACTCTCTCACTCTCACTCTCACACTCTCACTCTCACTCTCACTCACTCTCTCACTCTCACTCTCTCACTCTCACTCTCTCACTCTCACTCTCACTCACTCTCTCACTCTCACTCTCACTCTCACTCTCACTCTCACTCTCACTCTTACTCTCACTCTCTCTCTCACTCTCACTCTCACTCTCACTCTCTCAGATTCACCTACACACAAGCATGTATAACACACTTCCTCGCTTCTCCACAACCGCTCCCCCCTCCATGTCTCATTTCCGCAAGTCTGCCTCCTAGTATCCTACCTTGCCTCATCTCATGCTTTCGTTGTTACTCTTCTTGGTTGATTTCTGTTCCAGGTACTTGGTTCCCGCTGACATTTCTATCAGTCAGTTTACAGCAGTCATTCGCAACAGAATCAAGCTTAGCCCCGAGCAAGCAATCTTTCTCTTTATTGGGAACACCATGCCTCCCTCCTGTGAGTTGTTATGTTTGCACATATGTTTTGCCTTCAAATTAGGGGATATTAACGCTTTTTTTTTTTTTTTTTTTTTTTTTTTGCAGCTGCACTTATGTCGGCCGCCTACGAGGAGCACAAAGACGATGATGGCTTTCTCTACGTGTCATATGCTGGCGAAAACACCTTCGGATGAATGTAGGCTCATGTACAAATTCGTGTATATAAGTAGGTTGCAGGGTTGAAACGTGGAGGACTGCAGCTGTGCATAGGCCTAATTTCTGAATGCTTCGCTGCAGAGTTGGTGTCTTCATAAATTATGACTAGTGACTGTAACACATTTAGACAACTATTGTGCATCTGTTTATCACTGTATCGGAACACTGAAATTGGATTCTGAGAATGCTGAATTGGGGAAAATATGCCATTCGTAATCAGCAAGGGTCTCGATTATATGTTTGATAAAGAATAACGGGTTCGGTCACTGCCAAGGGTGTTTTCACGTGTTTGATAAAACGTTTCACGGAATCAGTCACAATCAACTGGGAAAAAATAACGCGAATGGTCACAGATGAAACTCCCGCCCAAAAAAGATAATACCCAAAACGAACCTGGATGCATTTTCGGATGAATCAACCCTAAACACAACTCGCCAGGTGTTTAGGGTTGATCCGTTCCCAAACCGCATCCGATTCCAATCGGGTTTTAGTATTTTTATAAATTAGCTGATTAATTGGGTGCGAGCGGGAATTCTGTAGAGTTTCAAGAAATTTTGGCGGGAGTTACATGTGTGACCATTCGCGTGATTTTTCACCTGTTGTTAGTGACTGAATCCGTGACCCCACTTACCAAACCCGTAAGCAAACCCGATACAGTGACCGTACGCGTTAATTTTCACCATTCACGTTATCGAGTCCCGTGTTGGTTACTTGTGACATATTTTCCCTGCCGAATTGCCCTTCCAACAAAAAAATGGTTTTTGAGCTTGGGGAGCTCCTGTTGTGTTGGCGAGAACAATGCACGACAATCAGAACTCGAGGTGCATTCATTCAGTTGCCCGACTTTTCAGTACAGTAATGGGAAAGGTTTTCCTCCATACAAGCAGCACAGTGGCGCAAAATCAGCGCGGCACGCTTGACCCAAATCGTCTCAAGAAGGCACACATGCCCACCTGCATCACACTGCAGAGCGTCACCTTCCAGACTCCACTCCAGGCAGCCTTGGGACTAGCGTTCCGTTGCGAGTTTCTACTTCTATGCTCCAGACATGGATCGTTCTGCCAAGCAGCTCTGAATTCGTTCTTGTGGAAGTTTTGCTCGGCTATAGCCATACACGTTTGTTCTTGCTCGATCCACTTGCCAGGCGTTACACGTGCCTGTATCCTCGGCTGCTCTCACGAGCAAACCAGTTGCAACCCCCTCAACCTCCTGGTTAGATTCGTCTGCCATGAGAATCCGTCACATTGCTGAGGTATGGCGGTTTGACGGAGTTCAGTAGGCCTCGCAAGCAGCTCGTGTCAGGAGTTTCGACGCCATCCCGTGGTAAACTCATTCTTTGGCTACTGAATCCTGACTGCATCTCATCGGGACCCCAGTATCAGCATCGGCCTCTTGACGCAGCTGACGCCTCTTCTGGAACGATCAACTCCCTCAATAAGGAAGGCTTGTCTCCGTTTAGCTCACTCGGATCCTGTTTTTTTCTTAAATACTTTCTGCTCCAACATCCTTAAATTGCGGGAAACTCTCACCTGGTCGTCGTTTAACGCGGCAGTCACTGCAGCTGTCGGCAGCTGATCCGTCGCGTCGCTCCAACGTCCAGCGCAGCCATGCTGTCGGCGAGTTTGCACCGGCTGGTGGAGGCCGCCATCGTGCCGTTCGCCGAGGTTCTCACGCTCGCCGCCTTCGGCTACCTCCTCGCGCTGCCCAGTGTCAGCGTGCTCACCGACAAAGCCAGGCGCCTGCTCGGCAAGCTCGTCTTCGCGCTCTTCCTCCCATGCCTCATCTTCGCTTACCTGGGAGATACGTTGACGCTGGAGCGGATGCTTCTCTGGTGGTTCATCCCCGTAAACGTCATCATCGCTGCCGTTTCTGGCTGCTTCATGGGCCTGCTGGTCGTCGCGTTTGCCCGGCCGCCGCCTCGGTTTTACCGACTGACGATTGTCATGACAGGGATTGGCAACATCGGCAACATTCCCCTCGCTATTGTCAACTCAATCTGCAGGAGAAAGCTGGACAACCCGTTCGGATCCCCGGCGGAGTGCCATCACCACGGCGTGGCGTATATATCGTTCGCTCAGTGGGTGGGAGCGTTCATCATCTATACCTTCGTCTACCACATGCTGGAGCCACCGGAAGAGTTCTACGAGATCGTAGCTCCTGATACTGTACCCGGTTCTGCCGCCGCTCTGACTGACGGCTCCCTTTCTCCAACTCCCCTTTCTCCAAGCGCCTCTCTTCCGATCCTCGCTTCTGGGTCGTCAGCAGCCAGTCCTTCTCTCGAACCTCAACCCGGTGGGATCTTGCCATCCGTAAAGAGCCTTCTTCCAGGCTCCTGGTTCCAGTCACAGCACCGCAGCTCGTTTCTACGGAAGCAGGAGCACGAGCACTACCAGCGGCTGATCACGTCGCCCACTCAGTCCAGCCGTCAGCTGCTCGAGACGGAGTTCCCTAATCTTCTTGAGGTGACTGCTCGCGCGCCGCAGATGAAAGAGCCACTGCTGGCGCGTCTCTTCAGAAGTCTCTCCATTTCAAACGCCGAGCGAACTGCGGGTGGTGTGCTCAAGGGCCAGGCTGTGGCTAAAGCTGCTGTCAATGCTCATGCTGCTGCTGCTGCTGCTCCTGCTGCAATGAAAGGGCGCATTAGCGGGTGTGAGGGCCACCAGGGAGTGGTGAATGGGGAAAGATTCGATGGACAGCAGAGAGGAAGGGAGAGCGCGGTTTTGGATGCAATGGAGAGAAACGCAGCAGGCGAGGAAGGAGATATGGGTGGTAGCAGCGCAAGAATGTCATGGGATGGGCGGTCTGCTAACCCACACGCCGTGGGGTGCTCTTGTGTGTGTGACAACTGCAAGGAGAAGTGCTGTGTGGGTGGGGTTGAAAGCAGCTCGGCCAGACGAAGCAGCAGGGGCATGGATGCGGCGGGTGGTATAGATGCTGATGCCTGCACGTGCGATATAACTGTAGAGCCGTGCACAAGCACAGGCTCAGGCACAGGCAGAGGGTCGGACACAGGCAGAAGCAGGGCCAGCACAGGGACGAGCAGGAGGAGTTCAATGACGCAGAGCAGCTGTGGGGAGGAGGACGATAGCACAGAGGAGCACAAGGGGCAGCATGGTGTTGCTACTGCTACTGAGAATAATCCTGCTGCTCCGGACGGTCTTGACCATGAGGAGGAGGTGGGGGGGGACGGGGAGGAGTATGAGGATGACCGTGACTTGGAGTGTGTGCCGTGTCTGCAGGAGCCCCAGGTGGTGCGAAAGATGCGCGTTGTGGCAGAGCGCACACCCATCCGCCACCTCATGCAGCCGCCCGTCATCGCCTCCCTCCTCGCCATCCTCGTCGGCGCCACACCCCACCTTAAAGCCCTGCTCTTCGGCCCCTCCGCTCCCTTCCTCTTTGTCGTGGACAGTCTGACTATCCTCTCCGGTGCCATGATACCCTGTATCATGCTGGTGCTAGGAGGGAACATGATCAGCGGGCCAGGGGGAGGATCAGGGCTGGGACTGCGGACAACTGCCGCTATCAGTGCAGTGCGGCTACTGGTTTCTCCGGTGGTGGGAATGGTGGTGGTGCTGCTAGCGGAATGGATGAATTTCCTGCCTCCGAATGACAAGATGTTCCGGTTCGTGCTGCTGCTGCAACACAGCATGCCCAGCTCCATTCTGGCTGGTGCTATGGCGAGCTTGAGAGGGTATGGTGAGAAAGAGGTGTCGAGCTTGCTCTTCTGGCAGCATATACTGTCGGCGTTTTCACTCACAATCTTCCTCGCACTCTATCTTCACTGGCTTATCTGATTGGGCTGATGGGCTGCTGGTGAAGGAGTTACCGTATGTGGAGGATTGAAGGGGGGTGCAGTCTTGGGTATAACATGAATAAAGTCGTGCGTTTTCAAGGCTAGTGCCGTTCTGATTCCATTTGGGAAAAGTTGTCACCAAGCTTATACGGTACTCCATGTAAACCCTTCCTGATAAGCAATGTACAATACAACAAAAGTGTCCTGTGCTTTTCTTGTGTCCGCAGCAGCATTTACAACATACCATGCAGAGGATGCAGTCAAGGAGAAGGCTGGAAAAGCATTCTGTCCTCCACCTATCACACCGTGCCCTGAGATTGGGACCCATACATTCCTCCACTTCTGCTACCCATCCCTAATCCCATCTCCCCAGGTCGCCCCACATTCCTACCTGCCCCACCTCCCCCACGCCCAGGGCCCATATTCCCCACTGCCCCTCGTACCCCTCCCACTCCCCTCCCTGCTCCTGCAACCCCCCTGTGTCCCCCCCAGTCACCCCGCCCGCCATCCATATACTCAGCAAGCCTCGCATCACCCCCGCCTGCCGCCCAAATACCACCTCCCCCAATCCCCGCCTGTACATACCCAGCATCCTCAAATCCTGCCCGGATTAACTCCTCCTGCCCGTTCCTTGATGCGCCCAACCCCACCTGCCCCTGACCCTGCCCCGAGTGCCCTCGTCCCCCTCTCATCTCCCCCATCCGCCAATCTCCTGTTTCCCCCTGCACCCGTGGCCTCCCCCATCCCGCTTCCCCGAGCCTCACCTGCCCGCCTAATCCCCTCATATCCCCCCCAATCCCCCCCTGCCTGAGCTCCCCCGCGTTTTCCATCATCTCCCCCTCCGCCTGTCCCAGTGATCTTTGATGGCGGACAAACCAGAGGCCCGAGGGGGGAGCGGGCGCGCGCGGGCGTGCGGAAATGGGGAGGTCGGGGGGATCCGGGGGAGCGAGGCGGAGCAGCTGGAGGATGGAGCGGAAGAGGTTTTGAATGAAAACGGCAATGATTAGCGCGACGAGCGGTAGCGCGTTGAGAAGGATAAGGAAGCGGATAAGGCGGTCCATGGGAGGTGATAAGCGGCGTGTGTGGGTTTGGCAGCGATGGTACGAGGCGAACTGTGGATGGGGGAATCAGAGACGTCGCGCCTGCTGCTGCTCGTGCATTTTTTTCTGAGGGAGTACGAGGGAGTGCGAGGGAGTGCGAGGGAGTACGAGGGAGGCGAGGGAGTGCGAGGGAGGCCGAGGGAGGCCGAGGGAGTGCTGCTGGCTTCTTGCTAAGCGTGGTCGCCTTGTTCAATGTGCGGTCGAATGCGGTGGTGGTCGCAGCAGAGCAATGCGAGTACCATGGAACGCGGAATGCGCATGGTCGAGGGGAATGCGCGCTCTCCGTCCGCGCGTTGCGAGGAGGGAAATGTGGGAGATGTCACATGCTGCTTTGCTTGGTGCTGTTCCTGCTCTGGATTGCGAAACGAGGTGAAGGCCGCGAAGCAGGGAGGAAGGGGTTGGCGATGTGGGGAAGAAGCTGAGTGACAGTCAACCCTGACGCTGGAGTGCAAATGCGAATCAACCCGACAGACAGCCGTGTCCTAAGATTCCCCATTAGTTGTACACCTTATTCCACACAATGGCTTTGAATCTAATCAAACGTTGAGCTCTTATGTGTTATGTTCACTTATGTTTTGGCTGTACAAATTCTTGTGTCTACTTTCGTAATCCGCCTATAAAGGTACCCGCCAATATGGCCTGGTGGGACTTCAGCGTTTTTGCATCAAACGAGAACAGTCCTTGGAATTAATAAAAGCAAATGAGATGCACTATGGCGTGAAGAACGCCTGAATGGGCTCTTCAATAGAGCATACAAATCATGATTCATGGCATACACCTGTTGCAGAGCATCTTTGCTATGCAACCAACGCTCCCCAACCCAAATCAATAATAAATACACAGTGCACTTCCAGTGCACGCACACCAACTCCCGCTTGTCGACTCTTCAACTCGTACCATGGAGATGTAGAAACCTTATAGTCGTTGAAGCTTTCTCTATCTCCGTATTCAGCATCCCTACACTCCCAATTCCCGAATGAAGTGGCCATTACACGGGAGGAAGAGGGGGAGTGGGAGGGGGGGGAGGAGGGTCAAGTGAAGAAGGGGGAGGGGTTGGGGGCGGGGAGGATGGTGGTGCGGGAGGAGGGTTTGGTGGTGGGGATGATGGGGGTAGAGGGGGAGAGGGTGGAGGGGGTAGAGGCGGAGAGGGTGGGGGTAGAGGTGGAGGACTGGGGGGAGGAGAGGATGGAGGGGCCAAGGGTGGAGGTGGATTGGGGTTCCATGGCTGTGTTACTCTGCACAGGGGGGATGGGGGGGACAAAGAATGCACTAGTGAGATGAGACCATCAAAGCGCTTTTCAATGGAGGGGACAGAGAAGGGTGCAATGCTCCAAACGCTCATGGGTAGGGTGACAGGCCTGCAGCACAAGCAGATGTGCTGATGCAAACATGGTATGGTCACATACCGGCCCTATTGCTGGGAAGAAGTGCACGTGAATCGTGAATGTAACACGGTGAAATAAACAGATGATACGAGAGCGGATGACATACCCGCACTTGGCGATCTGAGCCAGGAACGCGTCCGCTTTAGCCGCTGGTACCCCGCCTTCCACAAAGGTCCTGTTATCCGGGCGAAGAGGGGATAGCACACGCGTCGCAGTCCCGTATGCACTGCGGTAATTGGGAAGGAGAACGTGACCGCTAGAGGAGGCGATGGCGATGTCTTTCAGGCTCATCTGCTGGCACGGCACGCTGTCGCTGCAGTTGAAATTGATCCCCGTCGTTCCGTTTGTGAACCCCGTGACGTTTGTGTACGAGATGTTGAAAATGCCGAGCGCCGCCGGCTTTATCGTGCACCCGCCCGGCCCAACGTTATTCTTGTCGCAGTAATACTGCGTGATTATAACGGAATTAGAGCAGTCGGAAATCGTCACGTTCTCGTAACGAATGTTCCAGACAGCGCCCTGCCCGCCCTGATACGTCTTGATGCGCAGCCCATTGGAGAGAGACATGAGCACGCTGTTCTGCACAGTGATGTTGGAGACGCAGTTGAGCGCGCCGCCGATGCCGAGGCTGCCGATGCTGATGCCGTGGCCCGCTGTGCAGAGCACGTTGCGGATGAGCACGTGGTGCACTCCGTCCTTTATTGATATGTTGTCGTCACCTGTGAGGGGGGTGGAGTGGGGAGAGATTGAAGTGAGATTGGGAGCTAGTCAGCGGGGGTGTGTGTTTGTGTGTGTGTGTGTGTGTGTGTGTGTGTGTGTGTGTGTGTGTGTGTGTGTGTGTGTGTGTGTGTGTGGGTGTGTGCGTGCGTGCGTGCGTGGGTGCGTGCGTGCGTGGGTGCGTGCGTGCGTGCGTGGGTGCGTGCGTGCGTGGGTGCGTGCGTGCATGCGTGCGTGCGTGCGTGCGTGGGTGCGTGCGTGCGTGCGTGCGTGCGTGTGTGTGTGTAAGCGAGCGGTGGGGAGGGAAAGGAAAGTGTGGTAGAAGGAAGTGGGAAGGGCGAGAGAGTGAGGGAGGGGGAAGCGCAACGCACCGCCATGGATGGAGCAGTGTTCGATGAGGGCGTAGCGCACGCGGCCAATGCTGATGGAGTCGGTGTTGGGGCTGTTGTAGGGGCTGTCAGTGGTCACGTGGTGGATCCACAGCCCCACCAGGTCCTTTATGTTCACATGAAACATTGGGGGGTTCCTGCCGTGGGTGGAGAGGAGAGAAGGGGAGGAGAGAAGCAAGGAGAAGACGAGAGAAGAGTGAGGACAGTGAGTACAGGATAGTATGGACGGAGATGCATGGTGTCAGGCGGCACACAAGCCCCTCAGAAATGCTCACATTGATGCGTACTGGCGAGGCCATTATAACAGGAAAAACCATAAGGCTGACATGGAACGAAGGGGCGAGCGAGCGAGCGAGCAGTGCGTCGCACTCACTTGATGGTGAGACCGCTCATCTCCATGCCATTGCAGCGCTGGATGTACAGCAGGTCAGGCCGGTCAGTGCTCTTCCCAGAGCGGAACCGCGACCACCACGTGGCCGCCTGCCCGTCAACGATGCCCGAGCCCACGAGGCGCAGCCCGTCCAGGCGGTTCAGGTAGATCACTGCGTCCACGCTGTAGCTGATGGCTTCGGGGATGGGGTTTGCTGCTAGCGTGCCGTCGATCTGAGGGGAGTGGGGAGAGGAGGTGGAGGGAAGGAGATGACTTTTGAGTTGACTCAGAGGTTCAGGTAGATCACTGCGTCCACGCTGTAGCTGATCGCCTCGGGGATGGGGTTTGCTGCTAGCGTGCCGTCAATCAGAGGGCGTGGGGATGGGGGGGTGGAGGAAGGGAGGTGGGGGAAGGGGGAGAGAGGGGTGAGGTGCTGGCGATGGTTGTGCGTGTGTTGCTGGGCAGAACGAGTGGCACAGGCATGATCAGGTAGGTTACTAACACACACGACAGCGCGACCATCAAACAGCACCGTCCACAGGCACCAGGACAGGCACAGGCACAAGCACACGCACAGGCACAGATACAGCCCACGCACCTGGATGGTGATAGCAGCGCCGCTGCCGCTGGTCCCACACGGCCCCTCCATCCTGATAGCTGACGACAGCAGGAACGTGTATCCCCCCGGTAGCAGCACTGTAGCGCGCGTGCTGCTCGCAGCAGCATACGCGCACGCTGCCTTGAACGCTGCCACTATTGCGCCCGCGTCGTTGGTCCCGCCGTTGCCCTTCGCCCCGTACGCAATCACGTTGAAGAGACTTGGGGGGATTGGCGGGGGAGGAGGCGGTGATGGGGGCGAGGGTGGGGGCGGGGGGGAAGGCGGTGGGGGAGGCGAAGGAGGGGGGGAAGGCGGGGGCGGAGGGGAAGGAGGGGGGGACGGAGGAGGCGGGGGAGACGGGGGCGGGGATGGCCGAGGTGGCGGGGAAGGAGGGGGGGATGGAGGAGGGGGAGAAGGAGGCGGAGACGGAGGGCTGGGCGGAGGCGAAGGATAGCCGGAATTGGGGGGGCTCTTGGGCGGTTTGGGCGACTTGGGGGGAGGCCGGGGAGGAGGCGGAGATTTAGGCGGTTTTCCCTTTTTAGGCGGAGGCGGGGAGGGCGGCGGAGGCTGCGCGCAGACGGGGATGGGCGTATTTGTGCAGGTGGCGGGCGCGAAGTGGCAGGCGGGCCAGGGCGCGCAGCCGGACGCAGCGGCGGAGCGGTTCCCGCGCCACGCGCACACGTCCTCCGTGCAGCGGTTGCCGTCATCGCAGCGATCTGGGGGAAAGGAGGGCGGAGAAGAGGCGGGGCGGGAGGGAGCGGGGGCGGAGATGAGGGCTAATAGGGGAGAGGGGGCGAGGAGGTAGGAGAGGATGGGCGGAGGGGAGGAGAGAGACGAGAAAAGGGAAAAGCGACGACTTGGAGTCGAAGCAGCGGAGCGATGACTAGGAGGCCGAGAGGATAGGACTGAGACGAGGCGGGGATGCGAAAGGGACATTGTAAGGGAAAAGGGTTCCAATGGAGCGCCTAAAGCGCCACATTAGGTCACGCCGCGTGGTATTTCGTAACGGCCACATCAGATCGCACGGGGTACCGTGTGTGCGCGGCGCGCCATGCCACGTCATGGAGCACTCGACTCACTAGGTCTGGTGGAGGAGATGCCGCACGTGGACGTGAGGAGGAACTGGCAGTTGCCGTTCAGCCCGCGCTGCCCCTGCGCCGGTGCCCACGCGTCCATCGTCGACAGCGTGCGGCTGCAGCCGAGTGTGGGGGGGACGCGGGGAGGTGGGAGCGAGGGGGAGGAGGGGGGATGGGGAGGGCGTAGAGGGTACGTGGTGTGGGAAGGGGACGGGGGAGAAGGGAGGGAGTGGGCGGGAACGAAAAGGACAAATAGAGTGAGTTTTTTTCCCACTAAAATTAGAAGGAGCGGGGATGTAATGCAGCGCGCGTAGGTGAGGGTGTGGTAACGGGAAATGGGAAGGGAGAAGGAAAGGGGGGTGAACAATAACGATGGGCGTTTGTATCGGACCGTGCGTGATTGTGCTTACAGCATAGGGCTGATTGTAGTCCGCGTGAACGACTTTTTGCTGGGGTTGTAGATACACGCCGTGGCGGACAGCAGCGTAGGAGGCGGGTTAGAACTACTTGCGAAGGGATTAAAACGTATCCGATTAGACCGGTGGTAGGCATGGCATGGCTGGGCGAGCGACGACAACAGCCACGTCAGCACGAGCAGCGACAGCGGCAGTCTCCTCGCGTAACACGAGAGTGTCATCTTGTGATGAAAGCACCCGCAGCGCACGCCGCAAAGCACGCCGCAACGAACGCTAGGCTTAGTCGCCGACTTCAGAGCTGCTTTAAGGTGACACTAGAAGCTGGGGACCTAATATCTACGGAGGAAGCTGCAGATGATTATAAACATCATCCCGCGATCATATATCGCCCTGTCGCAATGGCTCTAATCGTGAGATGTCTGAGGGAATGTAACTGTCAACTGAGCTCTGAACAGTGGCAGTCGATAGCTATTTATGTTATCGGCCATCAGCGTCGACTGCGCGATGGTTGCGTCATGAGGCCAAAATTCGGCGCACAAGAAAGAATGACGCAGCGCAAGTGGGTTGCATGATCGCATCGCAACGCGACTCGGAAGAATGCGGTGGCAAGCGAATGGGATGGGACTATATGGGAATGGCGGCGAAAGAGGTAGTTGGTTGGGTTGGGTCCGAGATTTACAGTAGCGGGTGAGTCGTGACTAGCGAACAGAGTCGAGTCGAGATTCGTTGAAGAGGTGAACATGTGGGTGGGGTCAGCGGGAAAGGGTGTTTGTTGACGCCTTCGGGCAGATGGAACCGCCAGCGCGGCGCGAGATCAAAGCAAGAGCGATGGAGTGGGGAGGTTTGGGAAGGGAGGGGACGGGAGGGAAGGGAGGGGAGGGTAGGGAATGGAGGGGAAGGGAGGGGAGGAGAGCTTCTCGACAGGAGGAGCAAAACCCACTCATCCAAGCCAACAACAAGGCTTCAGTTACAGTTACAGCTCGTGTACACGCAGACCGCGGATAGGCTGGAGAATTCGCGAGCGACGCGGGTAGGCTACGCAGTCACAAGCAGAGGAAGGTACTACTCGAAAACTTGCCAAATGTGTTCTCTGGTTGTTTCATTCTGACCAGAGAGAGGGGCGGGCAGGCTTGGGGGCAGTGGGCACCCCTCACGTTCTTGGTTTGGGAATCTACGCCGGGCGAAGTTGTGGCAGCAACAACTGCCATTGCTGCGATTGGGGTCAGTGTGGAACTGTAGCATAATAGGTTGGGGTTGAGTTGAGATGACAGGGGCTGCGGAAAAATGTGGTGTTCCACACCGAACAAGAAACGGTGTCGGTGCGAGCGATTCTTCCGACAGGAATTCAAAGTTTGGCACCGCCAAAACAGATGTGGGCGAGTGGAATGGAACTGTAGTGTAGTGTGATCGTTGCGCTGCGATGATGACAACAGCACAGTAATGCCGTCGCGCACCCCATTTTCCACATGTTACCGTTACCACCATAGCTTCGCTATATATTCTTCGCTCAATCCTTCGCTCATTGGATTCTTGTCTCGATAGTGCAATCCTCGATCGATCACTCAATTGCACCCGTAACACTTGGTTATCAGAGCCTACGATCTTCTCTCGGACCGCACCCACACCTTCGCTTCCCCACTATCTCAAATTTTGGGGGGGGGTAGACGTCCCTCAGCGACCAAGCACCGCCGCTCGTAGTGCTCTCTCGTAAGCACGCACGGCCTCGACAGAGGCTCTCGCTGAGCTCGCCTAACACCCCCGCCATGGCAGAACTTAATGTCGCGACACTGACACAGGAGCAGCTAGACCGGCTCATGCGCCAACTCGAAGAATCGGCGCTTGAAATCGCCACACTCACGGCGGAACGCGACTCCGCTCGCCAACGATCGACAGTGAATGCACCAGCACCAACAAACGCACCTGCACACTCCGAGGAGCCGATCGTTATCTCCTCCGGCACACCAACACAGAACGACAGCGTGGGACAGCGCTCAGGCGTAGCCAGTGAGGGCGCCGCTCACTCAATGCCTGGCATGGAGCGTAACAGAGTCACACCAAGCCCACGGGAGCCCCGCTAAGCCCGTCGGCACGTGGAATTTGCAGCGACAAGTGGAGAGTATGCCATCACGGCACCAATGCCACTCAAGCCGCAGCGTCCGCCCTGTTTTGACCCAAGCCAACGTGGGGGTCCGACGGTTCAGTCGTGGGTCTTCACGATGAACGTATTCTTCGACGCGAACTACGTTGAGTCGGACGCAGCGAAGATCCGCTACGCTGTTTCGCTGCTGAGGGGCCCTGGCATGGACTGGTGGCGAGTCATCGTGACGTCGCCACGCGCCTACGAGCCACCGTCGCAAGAAGACGGGCCCGCGGGCCCAGCCGTCATCTGGAGTTTATTCTGCGAGACAGCCCAGTACAGCACGCTGGACGCGTGGTGCGCAGGGCTTCGGGCGCCTTTCGAGCCGATCGCGGCTTCGATTTCGGCGCGTCAGAAGCTGCGCACTTGGCGGCAGCTCGGATTGGTTCAAGATTACACGAGCGGTTTTCTCGCACTATGCGAACAAGTCGGCTATATGCACGAAGCGGAGCGGGTGGACCGTTACGTCGGAGGACTGGTGGCGAGTCATCGTGACGTCGCCACGCGCCTACGAGCCACCGTCGCAAGAAGACGGGCCCGCGGGCCCAGCCGTCATCTGGAGTTTATTCTGCGAGACAGCCCAGTACAGCACGCTGGACGCGTGGTGCGCAGGGCTTCGGGCGCGTTTCGAGCCGATCGCGGCTTCGATTTCGGCGCGTCAGAAGCTGCGCACTTGGCGGCAGCTCGGATTGGTTCAAGATTACACGAGCGGTTTTCTCGCACTATGCGAACAAGTCGGCTATATGCACGAAGCGGAGCGGGTGGACCGTTACGTCGGAGGACTAAATCCGGACATATCGCACGAAATAATGCTACGCGGGCTCTCGAATTTCAACGAGATCCTTGTGCTCGCCGAGAAAATCGACATTCTACGACGACCGAGACCGGGGTCCTACTACGGGACCGATCGAGCACGCCAGCGTACACGCCATTGCGACAAACGCTGCTGCCGCGACGTTTAAAGGGCGCTGCTTTGCTCGCAATAGGCCGAGCCATCGCAAGAGTGAATGCCCAGAGGAGCTAAGGCGCCGCGGAACAGAGCAGGGGCGAGAGTCTCAGAGGCCGGGAAACGCCAGCAGTCAGTAGGAGTCGGGCCAACTACTGACGAGACTGCCTGCTCGCCCAACTTCACCGACCCTCACTGAGTCACAGTACCGATTCACGCTATCGATCGGGCTCGGACGAATAAGGAGGGTACAGCGACGGATTGCCCAGTACTGATTCACGGGAAAATACAGGGAGCAGCAGTGAAGATTTTTATAGACGGAGGCGCAAGTCACAGATAAGTTAATACCGCGACTGCAAGGAAGCTGCAACTGACACTTAGTCGGTGCTTACCGGAGATAGATGCACGCTTAGTTGACGGAACGCCGCCGGCCATACGGGAAAAAGTGGAGAGAATAAAAGTCCGCTGTGGGGGGAACTTCGGGTTTACACAGGAAATGCTCGCGACGACATTGGACGGGCACGAAATTTTACTAGGACGTGCTTGGCTGTGACGATACAACCCGCGAATCGACTGGACGACGGGTAGCTGCACTGTGCGAAGTAGCTGCACTGTGCGAAGTAGCGGTAACGGGGTGGAACTACCTCGCTGGCAGTCGCCTGAGTCTTCAACTGTCCACGTCAACGTTATCACGATGAAACGGGCTGTCGCCGCTGGAGCCGACGTGTACGCGGTAGATATCGCACTAGTGGAGAAAGCAGAACAGCTGAGTGATTTTCAGAAGCTGCTGGCGGCCGTACCACCCGAACTACAAGAACTGTTGCAACGATTCCCAGGGATTTTTCCTGACGACTTACCGGAGGGACTGCCACCTCAGCGGGCGCACAATCATCGAATAGAATTAGAACACGGGGCACAGCCAACCGTACAGCGACAATTCAGACTGACACAGCCAGAGCTCGACGAATTAAGGAAGCAGTTAGATTACCTGTTAGAGAAGCAGTTTATCCGACCGAGCTCGTCCCCATTCGCCGCACCAATCCTGTTCACACTGAAAAAAGACGGAGGATTTCGCATGTGCATCGACTACAGGGCACTGAACGGGGTTACAATCAAATCGCGATACCCCATCCCCCGCGCCGACGAACTGATATATCAACTGCGAACAGCACGGGTCTTTTCAAAAATTGACTTATGGGGAGGTTACCATCAGATTAGGATCGAACCATCGGACCGCGCCAAGACCGCATTTAGGACTAGGTACGGGTCGTTTGAATATACAGTGATGCCTTTCGGGCTGACCAACGCTCCGGCGACTTTCCAGATGACAATGAACGAGGCGTTTAGACCACTCTTAGATAAATGTGTGATCATCTACCTCGACGACATCCTCGTCTACAGTCGGGATAAGCAGCAGCACTTAGCCGATTTAGAAGCAGTCTTTACAGTTTTAGACAAACACAGACTACTGACCAAGGGTTCCAATTGCGAATTCTTCCAGGATAGGCTAGAGTTTTTGGGGCACGTTATTTCAAAGGCTGGAGTCGAAATCGACCCGAAGAAACTCGACACGGTCAAAGCGTGGCACCCCCCGACGAACC